GATATAAGGTGCTGACCAAATAAACTGGCCTTACAGGTGTGGAGCCTTGGTGTGTTTAGTCCTATAGTGTTGACATGTCTCTAACACACAATCCCCTCAGAAAGGCCTCCTCACATAGCTAGAGCAACCCACCTTAGACACGTCTTTAGACACACAGGAACAGAGCAACAGAGAAAGTCTCATCACATGGAGCCACAGTATTTTCCCTTCTTTACAACAATCAGTTTAGTTTTATTTATTTATTTCTGTATTTTATTTGTACAGGTGATCCAATTGAGATGAAAGGTTTGTTGAGGAGAGATCTGTCCCAAGAATATAGCAAGGCAGCATGACGACTGATAGGTGAAAGGACTGGATAGGTTATTTGCTTTCAACTATCAAGTCCTCTTAGGTTTAAGGCCAGGAAGGAAAGGAAGTTATGTATGTATGAAACAGCCACAGTAAGTTGATGTTGCCCCTAACAACTGATACAGGATCACATATTTTCTCAACTCCCTAATTGTTAAGGTTAGGATTGGGTGTAGAGTAACCTGATCCTAGATCTGTGGTTAGAGCCAACCATATAATTAGAATGAGTAGAAAGGAAATCCACAATCAAGTCAATGATGCCATAATGTTCTACGCATTCTATTCTAGATGCCAACTTCTACCTGGAGCAGGCCCAGTCCCTTGTCTTCTACTCAGTTCTGCCCCCGTGTCCCCTTCAGAGCCAGCCATTGGTGGAGAAGTCCAGTCTGAGCTGCTGTGATTCGGCCTCTGAGAGCGGTTGAAGAGGAGAGCGACAGGCGCCGCCGTGGTAACCAAACCACTCCATCGCCTGCTTGAGGGCGGGAACGCCAAACTTTCTGGTCACCTAGCAACAACAGAGAGAAGAGGGGATGTTATGCCAAGAACTTAACCCTGTTCCTATGTCACATTTCCTGTTCGTAGGGCAGTGTAGCTTTCTGTTCAGACACTACCGGACCTGTCTAGTTCACTATCGTAGGGTAATGTCGCTTGACTCACAGCTCTGTGACAACATTATGCAGGGTTATTTAGGGCTATGTAGGTTCACTCAAAGCTGTGCTGGTCTCTATGTCACACCTATGTAGGGGTATGTAGGGTTATGTCACTGTCATATAGGGTTATGGCACTTTTATGTAGGATTATGTAGCGCTATGCAGCTTGATTTACGGCAGTGTTTGGCTCTGTCACTGTTACATAGAGCTATGTAGGGTTATGAAGCTTCACTCACAGTAGTGTTGAGCTCTATGTCTTTGCCTTCTCTATGTCACTCTTATGCTACTTAGGGCTATGTAGTGGTCATGAAGTCACTATGCCAACTCTTATGTAGGGTTACATGGGGTTATGTAGCTTGACTTACAGCAGTGTTGGGCTCTATGAGGCGCTGCTGCAGAGCTCTGGCTTCTTCCCAACGTCCCGACACACACAGCTGCTCCAGCTCACACACCTCACGACCCAGCACGTTGGCCAGCGCACACACACCGCCCACACAACCTGCAACACACACACACACACACACACACTATTAGCTGGGTCCTTTTAAAGGGACTACTTGACAGTATTATTGATCTGAAACATAGCTTTAACACTCACACGTGACATGCTCCTTCATATTCCTACAATGTGTGTGTGTGTGGTGTGTGTGACTGACAGCCCATATGATTTCCTTAAATATGCATTTTGATTGACAGCCATAAGGCACGCCCCCTCCCTCAGGGAGATGGAGCTCTGGAGCTCAACATCGCAGGCACACACAAGCACACACACGCACAGACACACACCAGATAACACATGCATGCACAAAACGTACACACACACACACACAGTACAGACACACCCACCAGATCCCAGTCACATTATATTAGTCATCCTGTACTTGAACTCCTCCTCTCTGCAGATCATCTATATTACTACTGCAGCTGCAGCACACACACCATCAGACTATTATGATCATATTTCACCTATGTACATGTGAGACGAGTCCTGTCAGAGCAGAGAGAGAGAGAGAAAGAGAGAGAGAAGAGAGAGAGAGAACGAGAGAGAAGAGAGAGAGAACGAGAGAGAGAAAAAAGAGAGAAAGAGAGAAGAGAAAGAGAGAGAGAGAAGAGAGAGAGAACGAGAGAGAGAAAAAAGAGAGAGAAAGAGAGAGAGAGAGAGAGAGAGAGAGAGAGAGAGAGAGAGAGAGAGAGAGAGAGAAAAAAAAGAGCGAAAGAGAGAGAGAAGAGAGAGGGAAGAGAGAGAGAAGAGAGAGGGAGAGAGCTCTGTAGGACAGAGACAGTATAATCTGACAGAGTGAACGACTCATTAGTCTGAGCTTCATACTCTATATATCTCTATCCCCTAAGGTTTTCACATATTCATACAATACAAAGTTGGTTGGTACTAGCTAGCATAGGAGAGAAGTGATGTTTTTGTACCCTACACCCTGTGATATACAGCTAAGTGATTACCAGAGAGGGAATTGAGATGGTCAATGTCAGTTGTAAATTCTAGGTTCTGGGTTCTAAGTTTGTAATTCTACATTCTATGTTATAGGTTCCAGATGCTAATCTATAGGGTATGTGTGCTAGGTTCTAAGTTCTTACCCACGGAATACGCCGCCATAAGGAACCCAGCGGAACCCGCCAGAACCTGGAAATCCTGCGGCTTCGTTTTGTGAACGATCAGAGCGATCCTTGTGATCTGAGGAACGACAGGAGAAAATCACAAACAGAGAAGTAAAAGGAGAGAAACAAAGTGGCATGCGTCCCTTTGGGCTCTGGTCTAAAGTAGTGCACTATATAGGGAATAGGGTGGCATTTGGGATGCAGACAGCGTGTTCTCCCCATCACTCCTTCCTGCTGTCAGGATGAGGACTGTTGTCAGGAGGAGCTGTCACAGCCAGCAGTAGACCAGCAGTACCAAACAACTCATCACTAACTAACTACTGAAAAATAGACAGAGAGAGAGAGAGAGAGAGAGAGAGAGAGAGAGAGAGAGAGAGAGAGAGAGAGAGAGAGAGAGAGAGAGAGAGAGACAGAGAGAGAGAGAGCGTGGAACAAGAGTTTTGACAGGTGAGAAGAAGAGATACTCCAGAAGAGGAGATGAAGGGAGTTTTCCTGCAACATTCATCCCTCTCTATTTAGTCCTCTTTTTGATTCTCTTGTCAGTCAAGACATGAACAACCGTTCCAAATCAACTTGAAATGCTGCAATGTTCAAAGGATACATGAAACACACACAGCGGGAAAACCCACAGGGAAAACCTGGAAACTTACATTTTTAGCAACCATCAGTCAGTCAGTCAAGTCACTTGCAACTTGAAACAAGACAGCATGGTCAGTAATTGATCCATCATTCAATCAAATAAATAGATAACGTGTGTGTGTGTGTAAGTGTGTGAGGACTCACGTCTCCTCCGCTGTCCTTGAGCCCCAGTATGTTAGGGTGTTGGGCCAGTCTCACCACAGCATCAACAGGAAGGTCCAGACCTGTGTTAGCCGGGACACTGTATAGAACTACTGGTACTGGACTACTGTCTGCCACCTGCAGAGGGAGACAGAGAGACAACACCAGGACCACACCCACCCCCGGGTCCAGGCCATAGAATTTGAATAATTATGTTTCTATTGCATTCAATTTCTATGGTCCAGACAGGGTTCAGAACAGAACAGAATTGAACTATGACATATGGTATATATTATGACATATGGTATATATTATGACATATGGTATATATTATGACATATGGTATATACTATGACATATGGTATATACTATGACATATGGTATATACTATGACATATGGTATATATTATGACATATGGTATATATTATGACATATGGTATATACTATGACATATGGTATATACTATGACATATGGTATATACTATGACATATAGTATATAATATGACATATGGTATATATTATGACATATGGTATATATTATGACATATGGTATATACTATGACATATGGTATATACTATGACATATGGTATATACTATGACATATAGTATATAATATGACATATGGTATATATTATGACATATGGTACATATTATGACATATGTTATATACTATGACATACGGTATATAATATGACATATGGTATATAATATGACATATGGTATATACTATGACATATGGTATATATTATGACATATGGTATATATTATGACATATGGTATATATTATGACATATGGTATATATTATGACATATGGTATATATATTTTTTTACATTTTAGTCATTTAGCAGACGCTCTTATCCAGAGCGACTTACAGTTAGGGAGTGCATATATTTTCATACTGGCCCCCCGTGGGAAACGAACCCACAACCCTGGCGTTGCAAGCGCCATGCTCTACCAACTGAGCTACAGGGGACTATATACCACTATGACATATGGTATATAATATGACATATGGTATATACTATGACATATGGTATATATTATGACATATGGTATATATTATGACATATGCAAATTGTTTATATTATATATTATTATATTAACTAATCATGTCGAGTACCAGGAGGCACACACCCAAACCAGACTGTTCTGTGATTCTGGTCAATCAATCATGAAATCTGTCAATGTTAAAATAATAATAATAAATTGTTGTAATAAAACAATCATTTAGTGTAATAATGATAAAGTCTCTGTAAAGCCTCTCTAGGTCAGTGATTGTCATAGAGAGGATAGCTGTTCTGTGTGAAGACAAGAAGAAGAAAAAGAAGTAGAAGAAGTAGAAGTAGTAGTAGAAGAAGTACTAGAAGAAGGAGTAGAAGACGTAGAAGAAGTAGTAGTAGTAGAAGTACTAGAAGAAGTAGAAGAAGTAGTAGTAGAAGATGTAGTAGAAGATGAAGTACTAGAAGAAGGAGTAGAAGAAGAAGAAGAAGTAGTAGTAGAAGTACTAGAAGAAGGAGTAGAAGAAGAAGAAGAAGTAGTAGTAGAAGTACTAGAAGAAGTAGAAGAAGTAGTAGTAGAAGAAGTACTAGAAGACATAGAATAAGTAGTAGTAGTAGAAGTACTAGAAGTACTAGAATAAGAAGTAGTAGAAGATGTAGTAGAAGATGAACTGACCTGTGTGAAGTGGTGAACCAGTGCTCTGTTGTCCATCTTGCCCTTGTAGAAGCATGGCGTTACCACGAGAACCAGGTCTGCCCCTGCCCGCGACATCCTCTCTGTCATCACGACTGTAGCTTTGGTAGCTGAGGGGGGAGAGAGGGGGAGAGGGGAGAGAGATAGGATCAGAAGGAGTGAGGGACAGAAGGAGAAAGAGAGAGGTGGGAGAGAAAGGAAGGGAGAGATGGATTTATTTAAATCCATGTTTACAACACTATTCAATTCAATTCAAAGGGCTTTACTGGCATGGGAAACATATTTACCAAAGGAAATGAAATAGATAATAAACAAGGGAAACATTACGCTCACAAAAGTTTTAAAAGAATATAGACATATTATTGGCTATGTACAGTGTTGTAACATCTCTAGGTAGGCTATGTGCACCATGTTAATGTAATGTTGTAACCTATCAAATATAGGAAAGTAGCCATCCTTATTCAGTAGTTAACACTGGGGCATTACAGGGGCATGATGTGGTAGGAATTACTATTCAGCCCAATAAAAGATTGTGTTATTGAGTCCTCTGTAGCTCAGCTGGTAGAGCACGGCGCTTGTAACGCCAAGGTAGTGGGTTCGATCCCCGGGACCACCCATACACAAAAAAAAAATAATTATGCACGCATGACTGTAAGTCGCTTTGGATAAAAGCGTCTGCTAAATGGCATATTATTATTATTTATTAGACAACCATTATCAGCCAATAAAACCGCATGATATTAAAACTCTATAGCTGGGCTGAGATGTAAAGTGTCTCCTGAAATAGTAAAAATTACAGTATTCACACTTGGCACATTAACAGATTTTTGCTGTAAAATACGGTAGCCATTTTTCTAATGGTTTCTATATGTGGTCATCGGTCAGTTACATTAATGAGAGTCAAATGGTCTCTGTCACACTGATACACACACAGGGCCTTACATTCACATCCGGACCCTGCCATGACCAGTTTGTCTGTGGGCAGGGCCAGTCTGACCCTCCTCACCACCTCTACCCGCTCCTCATCCGTCAGGTAGGGGTACTCTCCATTAGAGCCCTGCACCACCAGACCTGGAACACAGAACAACATCTTTATCATCATCACTGTCAGGTACGGGTACTCTTCATTAGAGCCTTGCACCACCAGACCTGGAACACAGAACAACATCTTCATCATCATCATCATCATCATCATCACTGTCAGGTACGGGTAGTCTCCATTAGAGCCCTGCACCACCAGACCTGGAACACAGAACAACATCTTCATCATCATCATCATCACTGTCAGGTACGGGTAGTCTCCATTAGAGCCCTGCACCATCAGACCTGGAACACAGAACAACATCTTCATCATCATCACTGTCAGGTACGGGTAGTCTCCATTAGAGCCCTGCACCATCAGACCTGGAACACAGAACAACATCTTCATCATCATCATCATCATCACTGTCAGGTACGGGTAGTCTCCATTAGAGCCCTGCACCACCAGACCTGGAACACAGAACAACATCTTCATCATCATCATCATCATCATCATCATCACTGTCAGGTACGGGTAGTCTCCATTGGAACCCTGCACCACCAGACCTGGAACACAGAACATCATCTCATCATCATCACTGTCAGGTACGGGTAGTCTCCATTAGAGCCCTGCACCACCAGACCTGGAACACAGAACAACATCTTCATCATCATCATCATCATCACTGTCAGGTACGGGTACTCTCCATTAGAGCCTTGCACCACCAGACCTGGAACACAGAACATCTCATCATCATCACTGTCAGGTACGGGTACTCTCCATTAGAGCCCTACACCACCAGACCTGGAACACAGAACATCATCTTCATCATCATCATCACTGTCAGGTACGGGTACTCTACATTAGAGCCTTGCACCACCAGACCTGGAACACAGAACATCATCTTCATCATCATTATGTTTGCACCAATAAAGTCGGGAAAGAACAGCACCTCGCCCTGAAACGTCAGTCTCCAGGAAAACGCGACAGATGACCGTGGGAATCCGCCAGAGGTCACCAAACACCCTCCACTGGGGACTATATCAATCTACTGTACCTTGCCTGCAAACGTGCACCGCTGCGCTTGAGACAGACCTTGCCCCTGGGCCTGGCCCCAAACCAAATGAACTGGCTGACAAGTCTATATGACAAACACGAGGCCACCGACACTACCTCCTCAACACAATATATAGGTTTAACTGTCACAATTAGGCTACTGTTAGGACACTTTCATTGGCAATTGCAAGATCTTTAGGCTACATGGTCTAATATGCATACAAAATAATTAAATGTATGATCTTCTGATCATGTTGTCTTAATTTGCATAATTCATTTCCATTTGCAAAGAAGTCAGTCCAAAAACTTGAACCAGGATCAACCAGTCTGTCATTGCAGAAAATACTTTGTCAATTGTCATTACCTTTGAAAGGAATCTTTGCATACTTCTGCAAGTTTTCATCCAGTTTCTGATAGTCCACGTCCTCTTTCTGAGTGAACGGCGTTGCTATGGGCGGGTAGATCCCCCCGATGTCCACTTTCTGTCCGGCCGCCGCGCTTTGTGTTCTGCTCTGGTTCTTAGTTGGCTTCCACAGCAGAGCGGCACCACGTCTACACACTGCTGAACCTACAGTTCGGAGAGTTCTGACACCGAACATTGTGTCAAATTGAACGGCTGTATTTTGGCTGCAGACGCGGGTGGCTTGACAAAGTACGGTGGTCAAATGGTAGGTTAGCCGACACCAACAGATGTTGCACAGACTTTGCCAGCCCAGTTAATATGCAACGACGCTCTCTAAATATTGACTAAAAGTTAAGGGGGTTTGACATTTTCCCAAATTTGGAACTCAGGTGGCCTTCCTCAGCGAGTCTAATAATACACTTCGTTACCCATGTTTACGCTGTGCGCAACAGGTCGAGTTGTGCGCTCTCAATAATATAGGCCTACACTCTCCAAAGTTGCCTATCTCTATACACTTTCAGTTCAATATCACTATTCGTACATTCTCATTTGCACATTGAATTAAGACATACCGGTGCATAAAATATTTGCATTTCAGTTGTGTAGGACAGGCTACGTTCAAACTGGTTAGGCTGCAGCGCAGGCTTGGTTCCGTTTCGGCAGAGAGGATGAAAGAGGCCAAACTCGGCGGGAAATCGGTCTCCCTCCAGCAGGTGGCGTTTTTTCGCCCACCAAGCAATGAGTTTTTGTATGGAGGTCAAAGAGTGTCGAATTTGGTCAACAAAAAAAAAAATGGCTTATTTGCTACGTGAGGTTTATTTGATTGAATAGACATTTTGGAATGCTTAGGTTATTAGAGTGTACTGATATAAGTAGGACACGTGACATCCCCGCAACTTAGAGAAAAAACACTTTATATCGGAGTTGTCTCGAGATGGCTATGCATGTTCATGTTATAAGGCTAGTATCATAGCATCTCTCCATTGAATACAGGCTGTTGACGTCAACAACCCTCATCGAATATTCAAAATAGTATTAAAATTATGACATGTATGCATCCACTAATCTAAAGAAAGGCGGGAGCTAGACAGACCGCTGTGCCGCTTTGTGGACAACGACTCCCATTGCTAGTGCAGCGAGACAAGTATCTTGTCAGTATATCCATAATATTCCGTTTTGGTGAAGATCCGCCCACGTCATGTAGGGACCATCAATAAAGAGCAAGACAGTCATAAGATATAGTTAATATTTTTGATGTTTAGAAAAACAAACCTCATAAAGTAGGCCTACTTACCGGTATTAAAAATATGACTGATCATTTTTTTTGTTAAATGACCAAATCTCGCATAGCCTATCCATATGCAAATCATAATATGTTTCTTTGGAACATGCGTGATTTCATTTATGATGATGAAAATGGATCATGAATCTATAGAATACCTGATATGACTGCAGCTATGACCAGGGCTTCAATCAGTTATAGGTAAAGATGTATACATTATCATTAATTATTATTAGAACATACAGTACCAGTCAAAAGTTTTAGAACACCTACTATTATAGGGTTTTTCTTTATTTTTACTATTTTCTACATTGTAGAATACTAGTGAAGACATCAAAACTATGAAATAATACATATGGAATCATGTAGTAACCCAAAAAGTGTTAAACAAATCAAAATATATTTTATATTTGAGATTCTTCAAATTAGCCACCCTTTGCCTTGATGACAGCTTTGCACAATCTTGGCATTCTCTCAACCAGCTTCATGAGGTAGTCACCTGGAATGCATTTCAATTAACAGGTGTGCCTTGTTAAAAGTTAATTTTGGGAATTTCTTTCCTGCTTATTGCGTTTGAACCAATCTGTTGTGATAAGGTAACATTTACATTATTTAGCAGACGCTCTTATCCAGAGCGACTTAGAGAGTGCATACATTATTTTTATTTTTTCATACTAGCCCCCCGTGGGAATCAAACCCACAACCCTGGCGTTGCAAACGCCATGCTCTACCAACTGAGCTACATCCCTGCCGGCCATTCCCTCCCCTACCCTGGACGAATTGTGCGCCGCCCCATGGGTCTCCCGGTCGCGGCCGGCTACGACAGAGCCTGGATTCGAACCAGGATCTCTAGTGGCACAGCTAGCACTGCGATGCAGTGCCTTAGACCACTGTGCCACTCGGGAGATGGTGGTATACAGAAGATAGCCCTATTTGGTAAAAGACCAAGCCCATATTATGGCAAGAACAGATCAAATAAGCAAAGAGAAATGACAGTCCATCATTACTTTAAAGACATGAAGGTCAGTCAATCTGGAAAATGTCAAGAACTTTGAAAGTTTCTTCAAGTGCAGTCGCAAAAACCATCAAGCGCTATGATGAAACTGGCTCTCATGAGGACCGTCACAGGAATGGAAGACCCAGAGTTACCTCTGCTGCAGAGGATAAATTCATTAGAGTTAACTGCACCTCAGATTGCAGCCCAAATAAATGCTTCACAGAGTTCAAGTAACAGACACATCTCAACATCAACTGTTCAGAGGAGACTGCGTGAATCAGGCCTTCATGATCGAATTGCTGCAAAGGAACCACTACTAAAGGACACCAATAAGAAGAAGAGACTTGCTTGGGCCAAGAAACACAAGCAATGGACATTAGACCGGTGGAAATTTGTCCTTTGGTCTGGAGTCCAAATTTGAGATTTGTGGTTCCAACCGCCGTGTCTTTGTGAGACGCGGTGTGGGTGAACGGATGATCTCCGCATGTGTATTTCCCACCGTAAAGCATGGAGGAGGAGGTGTTATGGTGTGGGGGTGCTTTGCTGGTGACACTGTCTGTGATTTATTTAGAATTCAAGGCACACTTAACCAGCATGGCTACCACAGCATTCTGCAGTGATACGCCATCCCATCTGGTTTGCGCTTAGTGGGACTATCATTTGTTTTTCAATAGGACAATGACCCAACACACCTCCAGGCTGTGTAAGGGCTATTTGACCAAGAAGGAGAGTGATGGAGTGCTGCATCAGATGACCTGGCCTCCACAATCACCCGACCTCAATCCAATTGAGATGGTTTGGGGTGAGTTGGACCGCAGAGTGAAGGAAAAGCAGCCAACAAGTGCTCAGCATATTTGGGAACTCCTTCAAAACTGTTGGAAAAGCATTCCTCCTGAAGCTGGTTGAGAGAATGCCAAGAGTATGTTAAAGCTATCATCAAGGCAAAGGGTGGCTACTTTGAAGAATCTCAAATATAAAATATATTTTGATTTGTTTAACACTGTTTTGCTTACTACATGATTCCATATGTGTTATTTCATAGTTTTGATGTCTTCACTATTATTCTACAATGTAGAAAATTGTACAAAATAAAGAAAACCTTTGAATGAGTAGGTGTGTCCAAACTTTTGACTGGTACTGTGTATTATCATATATTGTACAATACTGCCGTCTTCTGGAGAATATTGCCGATATATTACAATCATGATATTATGTCTATACACAACAAACTCACAAGTGCTCCAGGTTGAAATCCCAATAGTCCTAATTCACAAAATGATATTGCTTTACATCAGATTACTTTGCATAATGTAGTTTTTTTTATTTTTTTTTTTATTAAGACACTTCAAATATTATCCTCAAACTAAACTAGGCACTGGTGCTAGTTATGCTCTTAGGGGAAAAAATTGGTTATTTGGGTTCTATATAGAACTTTTAGGGGTTTCCATACATGAAGCAAGCGATATAACCCTTTCTGTTCATAAGAACCTTTGTGTCCGTGTGGGGCATACACCATTCCCGATGGTCTGTGGTCTGACGACGGTGAAAAAGAGGTCCGCCTGGCACAGACAGGGAGAGCTGGCCTCGGCCAGCTCTACACAATATACTGCTCCTCAGCTTTTGTTCATTAGGGGGGCCAGTATAAGAAAAAAGAAAGATCAAAGTAAGCGCTCGGATAGAGGAATGACAAAAGAAAAACCCTTTTGGTCTATAAGAACCTTTGTGTCGTGTGGAGGCATAATCACCATTCCCAGCATGATCTGTGTGTCTGACAGACAGGTGAAAGAAAGAGTCCCGGCCTTGGCACTTATCAGGGAGAGCTGTGCCTCGGCCAGCTCTACACAACAATATACTGCTCCTCAGCTTTCTGTTCATGTATGAGAGAGAGAGCGAGAGAGAGAGAGAGAGAGAAGAGAGAGAAGAGAGAGAGAGAGGGGGGGGGGGAGGGAGAGAGATAGGTCGGAGAAAGAGAGAGAGAAAGAGAGAATTGGGAGAGAAACAGGCAGTGTGCGAGAAAGAGATGCAGAGTGGGAGAGCGAGAGAGAGAGAGAGAAGGGGGAGGGGGAGAGAGATAGTAGTTTCATAAAAGCCACATCCGATCCACGACATTCTTTTAGCAGTTATTTTTGTTTCCATTTCGTCTGCCCGCAATGTGTTGTTATGGGAATATAACAGAGAGACAGACAGACATACGTTTACGTAACTATAAACCCACTGAACCAAAACATAGACATCTTTCAAGGAATGTTTTTAGTAGTTGCGGGGCAGGGCAATAGCATAGGCTGCTATTTGTCCACGCGCAAAAACAGATTCAGATTGGATAAGGAATCGGATAATTAAGTCTTATTACATTTCCCACATTCCCTACTCGACAATTACGGGGGCTGGGAAGCAATCTGGAATGGAAACTTCCTGTGTTCTATTTTGGTGTGTCTCAGTACGTGTGCCTTTTGGCATTCGTAGTCTGCATCTTCTTGCAAAATTGCATTACGTCACTGCACGGTGAATTCTCTCTCCCAACAATAAAATGACTTGACTACAGGCAGCCAGCCAGTCAGCCACCGGTCCCGTTAGCTACATGGTATAGGGACCTACATGGTATAGTAGAGTAGAGAAGCATCCTCAGCATCAACAAGAACACCGGGAAGTGCAGCTGCTGTAACGGCACTGGTCCCCCACCCACCACAGGCAGATGGAGCGTGAGGCTGAGCCCGCCACCGCCACGTGACTCGGTCGCTTCGCATTCGTAGTGTGACCGAGCATCTCACTCTGCATCATGGCTGCGGAAGATGCAGCTGCCCGGTCCCGAACCGCCCCTCTCTTCTCCCCAGCCCGGCTGCTGCTCCTCTCTCTCCTCTCCCTCTGCCTAATCCCCTCCCCGTCCCTCGCCCTGCTCGGCTTCCGTCCGGAGGAGACCGGGGGAGAGCTGTCCGTGGATGACGGGGTGCTGAAAGCCACCGAGGGAACCCGCTTCATGCTGCGGGTCTACTACGCCTCATCCCCGCAGAGGCTCAACCGGACCGCCGGGGCCAGAGCCAACGCAGCTCCCTGGATAGCCTTCATCGAGGAGCCGAGGCCGGGGAGAGAGGGGCAGGTCCACCCGAAGCGGAATATGTGCATGGATAAAAACGCCAGGAGCTCGGATATCGAGATCTTGGGCTCTTTCAAGTCCGCTTCGAGTCAGAACTCCGTGTTGGTGGAAGTATTGGCTAAGGACCTGCGCAGGGGAGAGAAGATTAAGTACTATTCGATGTGCGCCTTCGACGGGTCCAAATGGGAACACTACCGGACCCGGGATTTCTGGGTCGCAGTGGTGGAGCGCGGGGCCGAACCGGACCTCTGGCTTCAGGTGTTAGTATCGGTTCTGTTGCTCGCCCTCTCGGCGCTCTTCAGCGGGCTGAACCTCAGTCTGCTCGCGTTGGACCCGGTGGAGCTCCAGGTTCTGCAGAACAGCGGCACAGACAAGGAGCAGAAATACGCGCGGAAAATCGAGTCAGTGCGGCGGCACGGTAACTATGTCCTGTGCACTTTGCTGCTGGGCAACGCGCTGATCAACGCGGCGCTCGCGGTGTGGATGTGTCAGATCCTGGGGATGACCTGGCTGTCGACCGTTATCTGCGCGTTTGGGATCTTTTTCATTGGGGAGATCCTGCCGCACTCTGTTGCGTCGCGGCACGGCCTGGCCATCGCGTCCAAAACCATCTGGGTAACCCGTCTTCTTATGGTTCTCTCCTTCCCCGTCTCCTACCCCATCAGTAAACTCCTAGACTTCATCCTCCACCAGGAGATCAGTAACTTTTATACGCGGGAAAAACTCCTCGAGATGCTGCGCGTGACCGACCCGTACCACGACCTGGTCAAAGAGGAGCTCAACATCATACAGGGCGCGCTCGAGCTCCGGACCAAGACCGTAGAAGATGTTCTGACTCCGCTAACCGACTGCTTCATGCTCACCTCGGAAGCAGTGCTGGACTTCAACACCATGTCGGAGATTATGCAGAGTGGCTATACGCGCATCCCGGTGTTCGAAAACGTGCGGTCGAACATTGTGGATATTCTGTTCGTGAAGGACTTGGCGTTCGTTGACCCGGATGACTGTACCCATCTGAAGACCATAACACAGTTCTATAAACACCCCATGCACTGTGTGTTCAACGATACCAAACTGGATGCCATGCTGGAGGAGTTCAAGAAGGGTAAGGAGGGGGAATGTGAAAAAAGTAAGATCACACAAGAAACTCTAGAAAAGTTAGTATGATTGTGTGTGTATGTGTGTGTGTGTGTGTGTCCCCCCCCCCCCCTCTCTCTTTCTCTCTCTCCCTATTGCCCTCTCTCACTCCCCCCCTCTCCCATCTTGGCCAAGTCACTGGTTCAAGCTCCTATTGTTCATCTAATTTCCATAAACTACAACAGTTTACATGTAGGGCCTACCAGTGTCAATGTAATCATATAAAGTAACTTCACTGAGATTCTCTCTCTGGAAACAACCATTGTCTGCTTATAAGAGGTGCTGTGCTGTAGTGTGACTAACAGGGATATCCCATCCTAGTGATAGCCTACTACAAAGGGAATAGGGTGTCATTTGGAACACAAACTAGGATATAGCCTACAGCAAGGTCATCTGGTCCTAGATCTGAGCCTATGCCCTACGGGTAATTTCGCCCTCTCGGCGCTCTTCAGCGGGCTGAACCTCAGTCTGCTCGCGTTGGACCCGGTGGAGCTCCAGGTGATATGGGCACAGGATGAGTCCCCTGTAGCTCAGTTGGTAGATCATGGTGCTTGCAATGCCAGGGTTGTGGGTTCGATTCCCACGGGGGACAAGTATGAAAAAAAATTATGCACTCACTAACTGTAAGTCGCTCTGGATAAGAGCGTCTGCTAAATGACAAAAATGTAAATAGCAGGTAAGGTGGGTGTTTCTCCTGTTGACCAATAGCAGGTAGCCATGTTGTCTGTTTTTGGGGGAAGAAGGCAGTGTTAGCATTTCTCATGTTGTTGCATGCAGAGGCTGTGCTAGAGAATTACATGAAGGACACCTTCAATAGATGAATGTGTTTACACTGTCTCCACCCGTATTCATAAAGCATCTCAGAGAAGTAGTGCTGATCTTGGATTAGTTTAGCCTTTTAGATCACATAATGAATTAGATTATATGGACAAGAGGGACCTGATCCTAGATCAGCACTCAGTACAATCCACACAGACTAATAGATAAACAAAACAGTGTGTGTGTGTGTGTGTGTGTGTGTGTGTGTGTGTGCGTGCGTGTGTGTGTGCGTGCGTGTGTAAGAGCGAGAGATTTGAATTCAATTGAGAGTGCTAGCGTGATAGAGAGATAGAGGGATGAGAATGTCATGGTGACACAGAGACAGACAGAGAGAGACCTAAAAAGGCTGTTACCTTTAGAATGTCCTTTCCTGTCATGACACCCCCTCCCCTCCTCTCTCTCTCTCTCTCTCTCTCTCTCTCCACCCCTCCATTGCTCCACCCCCCAGAGAGAAGACATTAAATATTCAGAGAACACTTTCTCTCCCTTCCTCTCTCCCTTCCTCTCCCTTCCTCTCTCTCTCTCTCTCTCTCTCTCTCTCTCTCTCTCTCTCTCTCTCTCTCTCTCTCTCTCTCTCTCTCTCTCTCTCTCTCTCTCTCTCTCTCTCTCTCTATCTGTCCTCTGTGGTGCTGCACTCAACACAGCCACAGTGTTTATGAGAGAGAGGACTGTGTGTATTTTCCGTATATGAGAAAGAGAGCGAGAGAGAGAGAGAGAGAGAGAGAGCATGACTGTGTGTGGCGATGCTGCAACCCCATTTAGTCAAACCAAAGCATAAATAATCAAAGCACTAGTACAACAGACCCCTCCCTCCCTCCCTACCACAGTGACTGTAGCCTTTATGAGCAAGTGCACAAGACTGTATTACAACACTGAGCTAAAGCCTAGGCACTAGGTGTGGGAGCTTAGTCTTCAGGTTTGAAAAAAGTGCACCCTATTCCATATATACACTGAGTGTACAAAACATTAAGAACAGCTTCCTAATATTGAGTTGTATCTTGGGACACAGGCCCAGTATCCCTGAACTCAGCTCCCTAAAAGCCTCTGAGAGATGAAATGGTGGTCAGCATTCTATCAGATTTATGGGTTAAGGAAGACGTGTGTTCACAAAGGAGTTTGTGTGTGTGTGTGTGTGTGTGTGTGTGTGTGTGTCTGTGTGTTTGTGTGTTTGTGTGTGTGTGTGTGTTAGGGCTGGTCGATATGGACAAAATATTGTTGACGGTATAATGGTATTCTATGGTATTTAATGTTTTTGAATAACAGTTCTAAATATGCTTTATGATTAGTGACAACACATACATTATAAGTCATTTCAATGGGTCTTTATCCATTTATACTGTTCAATCCAACTCCAAACAAAAGTCGATCTATTTTTATTATCATTTCCACACTGTGCCACGCAGCATGATATGGGCGACACATATAGCCTAGTTAATTGGTGAACTGTTGGAATCATGGAAATATAATGATTATTCTAATTCTATAGTTGGAATATAGTGGGCAGAACCTTGAATACATTGTTGTTTGACATGACAAGGAATGAAAAAAACCAGGGAGGAATTATTGACAGGGTAGGAACCAAAGTGTTGGTCAGTGTTTCCAGGTGACCCTAACTAGATGTTACATGACATGTTTTCTTACTTCATGTAGCTTTCTAACATATTCATGCTTTGCCTATTCCTCTCTGATAAGATACCGTTGCACAAACATGCTAATCTAGGCCTACACCAGCACTGGTACCAGGCAGTATAAGCTAGCTCGCTACATTTGCTCTGACTCTTAGTGTATTTAGCAAGCTAAGCTAGCTAGCCAGCTAACTAGCGATTAGCATCACCACATAGTTGCATCCATCTGACCATGCAGAGTGAAAGGCAAGAAAGTGCTTGTGACGCCGTGGTTGAGCAACTGCTCTCTCCTTGAGTGACAGGCGGCACGACTTGGTGTGTTTAGCGGCGTGCAGCAGCAGGAGAGGGAGAGAGACGACTCAAGTAGCAAACGGAGTGAACTACAAAAACGGACATTATACGTGCCGGAGTTGCGTATCACATTTAACAAACCAAACATTGAAATAGCGTTATGTGTGTAACTGTAAGAGCTGTTAATGTGCTGCTAGGTCTGACCCATATAGAGAAACATGGATCTGACAGAAACTCTCTCTCCCTCTCACCCCCTGTTTCCCCACCCCCAGTCAGACTGAGACACAGTCAAAGTGAGACACAGTAAGAGTGATACACAGTCAGAGTGAGACACAGTCAGTGAGAGACAGTTAGAGTGAGACACAGTCAGAGTGAGACACAGTCAGTGAGAGACAGTTAGAGTGAGACACAGTCAGAGTGAGAGACAGTTAGAGTGAGACACAGTCAGAGTGAGACACAGTTAGAGTGAGACACAGTCAGAGTGAGGAGAAGTAGAGTGGACGACAGTAGAGTTGAGACACAGTCAGAGCGAGACACAGTCAGACTGGCAAGTCGAGTGAGACCGTAGAGTGAGCACATCTGACTTGACCAGTCAGAGTAGTACCACTCAATTGAGACACAGTCCAGGTAGCACATCCAGCCGCGAGACCAGAAGAGGGATACACGTCAGAGTGAGACACAGGTCAGTGAAGACACGTTAGCAGTGAGACACAGCTAGTGAGGACACACTCCGGAAGACAGTTTGCAGGAGACCACGTCCGAGGAGCGACATTAGAGGAGCACGTCAGTGAGAACAGAGGAGCACTCGAGTGGCACAGGGAGTGAGATCATGTGGAGCTGGACGGGGGGAAGGTGATGCATACAATAATCACAGACTTTACATAAACGTAGCAAAGAGACAATCTACTCAAATCATAGAACTGGTAGTTAACGGTGCCGAATGCTCCAGTAACAGGAGAGAGAGGGGAGAGAGAGACGAGAGAGAGAGAGGAGAGAGAGAGGAGAGAGAGAGGGAGGAGAGAGGAGAGAGAGATGAGAGGGGAGAAAGAGAGGGACGAGAGAGAGAGAGAGAGGGGAGAGAGAGGAGAGATGGAGGGAGAGAGAGAGAGAGAGAGAGGGAGAGAGAGGGGGGGTAGCTGCAGCTGTGTGCAAGGAAGTGTGTAAGTGTTGACTGTGTTACATAATGGCTGATGATGTAATCTTCAGCTGCTGGTGTCTGCAGTGCAGTCTCTCTCTCTCTTTTGCTCTCGCTCCCCCCCCCCCCCCCCCCCCCCCCACCATCTCTCCAGGGGGAGCCCTGAGCAGTCTCTGTACAACCCAATCACCCTTCATGCCCCCTCCCACCCCCTCCAACCCCTACCCCCCCCCCCATTCTCCTCTTCCCCCTTACCCTCCTGTCCCCTACGCACTCATTCACAAACAAACACAATGAACCAACCTCCCATTCCTTCCATTGCTTCCATCTAAATCACGATCTCACAGAAACTTTAACATCAACAAACAGTAGCAAAAATAGACATATCTAACTAACAAATCAACTAGACTGCTTATCTTAAACGGTTCCCCATTTAGCTCCAGTAATACCCCACGTTTACCATGGAGATGACCACCCTGTGGCTGCATCCCAAATGGCACCCAATTTCTATATAGTGCACTACTTTTGACCAATTATTGTTTCTCTCTCTCTTTCTCTGTGGGCCCTGGTGCACTAAATATGGAATAGGGTGCCACTTGGGACTCAGATGTACATCATCCCCCTGCTGGGAAGATCAACATCCCTGGGGTATATTCCCTAGAAACCAAACAGAAGCAAACTGAACAAAACAGGGAGGGATCTTTTTTTCCGTTTCGAAATGTTGTGCACTAATGAATACACCCCTGATGTGTTTCTACTAGAACACTTCCTGATTCTATCCCTGTGGCCTCATGGGTGATGTAGTCTGTGTGTTTGTTTTTACAGTGTCTCTACTGTAAATTATGCTATCCTGCTCATTTGACATTCTAGTCATTTAGCAGACGCTCTTATCCAGAGCGACTTACAATTATTTAGTTCATCTTAAGATAGCAAGGTGTGACAACAACACACCACAGTCGTATCTAGTACATTTTCCCTCAACAAAGTATTTATCAGCAAAGCCAGCGCTAGTAGAAAAAGATAAGTGCCTTTCTTTGTTAGTTTTTATCTCCTCAGGAACAACATGTCAAGGCAGATCTGTTGACTGCATTCATTGCTTTTCCTCTCTTGCTTCTCCTATTCCCCTTACCTCAGACCCCTTCACATAGTAAGATCCCTTTACACAGCCAAAATAAATGCATGTAAATACATACATTTGTTTTTGGTATACTAAAAAATGACATTGTTTTATGTAGGAGTTTCACCTCTCTCATAGTCTACCCCCTCCATGTTTGTTAGGTAAGTCCCACAGGTTAGGATTATATTATGATGTCATATTCTGTCTCTCTCCAGGAAAATCCCACCTGGCCATCGTCCAGCGGGTCAACAACGAGGGTGAGGGTGATCCCTTCTATGAGGTCATGGGCATCGTGACCCTGGAGGACGTTATAGAGGAGATCATCAAGTCAGAGATACTGGACGAGACTGACCTCTACAGTACGTACACACACACTGACCTAAAGTACATACATACTCGCAAGAACTGACGCACATGCAAGAACACACACACATACACGCGCACAGTACTTCTAGAGTATGTGTGTGTCTCACCCTACATCTGATAACCTCTCTAAGTGTTGTGTCTCCCTCTACAGCTGATAACCTCTCTAAGTGTTGTGTCTCCTCTACAGCTGATAACCTCTCTAAGTGTTGTGTCTCCTCTACAGCTGATAACCTCTCTAAGTGTTGTGTCTCCTCTACAGCTGATAACCTCTCTAAGTGTTGTGTCTCCCTCTACAGCTGATAACCTCTCTAAGTGTTGTGTCTCCCTCTACAGCTGATAACCTCTCTAAGTGTTGTGTCTCCTCTACAGCTGATAACCTCTCTAAGTGTTGTGTCTCCCTCTACAGCTGATAACCTCTCTAAGTGTTGTCTCCCTCTACAGCTGATAACCTCTCTAAGTGTTGTGTCTCCTCTACAGCTGATAACCTCTCTAAGTGTTGTGTCTCCTCTACAGCTGATAACCTCTCTAAGTGTTGTGTCTCCTCTACATCTGATAACCTCTCTAAGTGTTGTGTCTCCCTCTACAGCTGATAACCTCTCTAAGTGTTGTGTCTCCCTCTACAGCTGATAACCTCTCTAAGTGTTGTGTCTCCCTCTACAGCTGATAACCTCTCTAAGTGTCTCCTCTACAGCTGATAACCTCTCTAAGTGTTGTGTCTCCCTCTACAGCTGATAACCTCTCTAAGTGTTGTGTCTCCCTCTACAGCTGATAACCTCTCTAAGTGTTGTGTCTCCCTCTACAGCTGATAACCTCTCTAAGTGTTGTGTCTCCTCTACAGCTGATAACCTCTCTAAGTGTTGTGTCTCCTCTACAGCTGATAACATCTCTAAGTGTTGTGTCTCCCTCTACAGCTGATAACCTCTCTAAGTGTTGTGTCTCCCTCTACAGCTGATAACCTCTCTAAGTGTTGTGTCTCCCTCTACAGCTGATAACCTCTCTAAGTGTCTCCCTCTACAGCTGATAACCTCTCTAAGTGTTGTGTCTCCCTCTACAGCTGATAACCTCTCTAAGTGTTGTGTCTCCCTCTACAGCTGATAACCTCTCTAAGTGTTGTGTCTCCCTCTACAGCTGATAACCTCTCTAAGTGTTGTGTCTCCCTCTACAGCTGATAACCTCTCTAAGTGTTGTGTCTCCTCTACAGCTGATAACCTCTCTAAGTGTCTCCCTCTACAGCTGATAACCTCTCTAAGTGTTGTGTCTCCTCTACAGCTGATAACCTCTCTAAGTGTTGTGTCTCCCTCTACAGCTGATAATCTCTCTAAGTGTTGTGTCTCCCTCTACAGCTGATAACCTCTCTAAGTGTTGTGTCTCCTCTACAGCTGATAACCTCTCTAAGTGTTGTCTCCCTCTACAGCTGATAACCTCTCTAAGTGTTGTGTCTCCCTCTACAGCTGATAACCTCTCTAAGTGTTGTGTCTCCCTCTACAGCTGATAACCTCTCTAAGTGTTGTGTCTCCCTCTACAGCTGATAACCTCTCTAAGTGTTGTGTCTCCCTCTACAGCTGATAACCTCTCTAAGTGTTGTGTCTCCCTCTACAGCTGATAACCTCTCTAAGTGTTGTGTATCCCTCTACAGCTGATAACCTCTCTAAGTGTTGTGTCTCCCTCTACAGCTGATAACCTCTCTAAGTGTTGTGTCTCCCTCTACAGCTGATAACCTCTCTAAGTGTTGTGTCTCCTCTACAGCTGATAACCTCTCTAAGTGTTGTGTCTCCCTCTACAGCTGATAACCTCTCTAAGTGTTGTCTCCCTCTACAGCTGATAACCTCTCTAAGTGTTGTGTCTCCTCTACAGCTGATAACCTCTCTAAGTGTTGTGTCTCCTCTACAGCTGATAACCTCTCTAAGTGTTGTGTCTCCTCTACATCTGATAACCTCTCTAAGTGTTGTGTCTCCCTCTACAGCTGATAACCTCTCTAAGTGTTGTGTCTCCCTCTACAGCTGATAACCTCTCTAAGTGTTGTGTCTCCCTCTACAGCTGATAACCTCTCTAAGTGTCTCCTCTACAGCTGATAACCTATCTAAGTGTTGTGTCTCCCTCTACAGCTGATAACCTCTCTAAGTGTTGTGTCTCCTCTACAGCTGATAACCTCTCTAAGTGTTGTGTCTCCCTCTACAGCTGATAACCTCTCTAAGTGTTGTGTCTCCCTCTACAGCTGATAACCTCTCTAAGTGTTGTGTCTCCTCTACAGCTGATAACCTCTCTAAGTGTTGTGTCTCCTCTACAGCTGATAACATCTCTAAGTGTTGTGTCTCCCTCTACAGCTGATAACCTCTCTAAGTGTTGTGTCTCCCTCTACAGCTGATAACCTCTCTAAGTGTTGTGTCTCCCTCTACAGCTGATAACCTCTCTAAGTGTCTCCCTCTACAGCTGATAACCTCTCTAAGTGTTGTGTCTCCCTCTACAGCTGATAACCTCTCTAAGTGTTGTGTCTCCCTCTACAGCTGATAACCTCTCTAAGTGTTGTGTCTCCCTCTACAGCTGATAACCTCTCTAAGTGTTGTGTCTCCCTCTACAGCTGATAACCTCTCTAAGTGTTGTGTCTCCTCTACAGCTGATAACCTCTCTAAGTGTCTCCCTCTACAGCTGATAACCTCTCTAAGTGTTGTGTCTCCTCTACAGCTGATAACCTCTCTAAGTGTTGTGTCTCCCTCTACAGCTGATAATCTCTCTAAGTGTTGTGTCTCCCTCTACAGCTGATAACCTCTCTAAGTGTTGTGTCTCCTCTACAGCTGATAACCTCTCTAAGTGTTGTCTCCCTCTACAGCTGATAACCTCTCTAAGTGTTGTGTCTCCCTCTACAGCTGATAACCTCTCTAAGTGTTGTGTCTCCTCTACATCTGATAACCTCTCTAAGTGTTGTGTCTCCCTCTACAGCTGATAACCTCTCTAAGTGTTGTGTCTCCCTCTACAGCTGATAACCTCTCTAAGTGTTGTGTCTCCTCTACAGCTGATAACCTCTCTAAGTGTTGTGTCTCCCTCTACAGCTGATAACCTCTCTGTGTTGTGTCTCCCTCTACAGCTGATAACCTCTCTAAGTGTTGTGTCTCCCTCTACAGCTGATAACCTCTCTAAGTGTTGTGTCTCCCTCTACAGCTGATAATCTCTCTAAGTGTTGTGTCTCCCTCTACAGCTGATAACCGTTCTAAGCGTCGTGTTTCTCACCATGAGAGGAAGCAGCAGGACTTCTCCATCTTTAAGCTGTCGGAGAACGAGATGAAGGTGAAGATTTCTCCTCAGCTCCTCCTCGCCACGCACCGCTTCCTGTCCACAGGTAGGCCCACTGTGATGTCACTTCCTGTCCAATGTGAGGTCACTTCCTGGGTGTTAAAGAAGGAAGGAACCATAGAATTACATATACAATCTCTGTGGAAGTAAGTTCTTCTCAATTTGAGGCCTGGTCACAAACCAACCCATTGAATATTAAAGAATATTGACTAGTTATTGTAAATTATATTTTTCTTATTACTTTGCCACTGCCTCTCTCATTTCTTCCTATCTATCCCTCTTTCATCTCTCCCCTTTTACTACCCTCTCCTCCCACCTCTTCTCTCCTTCCCCTCTCTCCTTCCCCTCTCTCCCGTAGAGGTGGAGCCCTTCAAGCCAGCCCACCTATCAGAGAAGATCTTACTGCGTCTCATTAAACACCCCAGTGTGGTACAGGAGCTAAGCTACGATGACAAGAACAAACTGGCCCCACAGCACTTCCTGTTTCAGAGAAACAAACCTGTTGACTACTTCATCCTGTTACTACAGGTATAAACGCCTGCAATAATTGTCCCTTAGCAATAAATCAAATTCATTTCATGTATTTTATTGGTAGGATAGTAGAGAACAGATAGGACAGTGAGGAGATAAGTGTGTCAAAGTAGGAAAGGATTTGATCTCACACAGAGGGAGAGTACACTGAGTGGACAGAGCTTTAGGAACACTTTCCTAATATTGAGTTGCACCCCCTTTTGCCCTCAGAACAGCCTCAATTCGTTGAGGCATGTACTACAAGGTGTCGAAAGCGTTTCACAGGGATGCTGGCCCATGTTGACTCCAACGCTTCCCACAGTTGTGTCAAGTTGGCTGGATGTCCTTTGGGTGGTGGATAATTGTTGATACACACGGGAAACTGTTGAGCGTGAAAAACCCAGCAGAGTTGCAGTTCTTGACACACTCAAACCGGTGCGCCTGGCACCTATTGGCACCTACTACCCGTTCAAAGGCACTTACATCTTTTGTCCCGCCCATTCACCCTCTGAATGGCACACATACACAATCCATGTCTCAATTGTCTCAAGGCTTAAAAATCCTTCTTTAATTAACCTGTCTCCGCCCCTTCATATACACTGATTGAAGTGGATTTAACAAGTGACATCAATAAGGGATCATAGCTTTCACCTGGATTCACCTGGTCAGTCTATGTCATGGAAAGAGCAGGTGTTCATAATGTTTTGTACCCTCAGTGTATATCATGTGCTGCAGGTGGAGGTGCTAACCGCTACACCAACCCGGGTTTAATAAATAGCTTAGAATATATAGAATATAGCTTAGACACAAATCAGGGAACTTGACCATTTCTCTCTCCTGTGTGTCCAGGGTCGTGTGGAGGTGGAGTTTGGTAAAGAGGCTCTGAGGTTTGAGAACGGAGCGTTCGCCTACTATGGTGTGCCTGCCATCATGCCCACAGGTAACTGGCTCATCACACACACACACACACACACACACACACACACACACACACACACACACAAATGCATGCACGCACACATGCACACAAACCTGCACATATAGAGAAACACTCTGTGCACAGTGCACACACAAAGAAAGCAAAACATTGAATGACAAACATAAAATAATACACTTAATTCAAAATACATTATCTGGACTGTCCCATTGCATAGACCAGAGAGTGGTAGAAAACTATCTCATCCCTGTCTGACCCATTACCATCCTGTATGATTCAGTCCACAGATCCCCCTCCCGTAGCAGTGGTCTGGACCGGTCTGACTCTATGCTGTATGGGGGCAGTCTGGGCCAACTCAACGGAGGGGGGAGCGTCTACCTGCCTGACTACTCTGTTAGACAGCTCACACACCTGCAGGTCATTAAGGTAGGCTTACCTAGACTACAGTACAGCCCCGCCCACCTCAAGTTATCTGGATACACCTGCTCCAACACCATTTGTCATTTATTTGAGTTCACTTGCAGCGGTGTCTTGATGGTCTTGATAACTAAATAGTTTATTCAATGCATCATTCATTCATTTGTCATTTTAGACATTTGTCATTTCCTGAAAGTATAAAGAATCTAAATCCCATCTGACTGAGTGAATGTTTTAGTAGTGTGTAATAGGGTCCCAAATAGCACCCTATACACCATACAGTATATAGCCCTATGGTCCTTGGTCAAAAGTAATACACTTTATAGGAAAAAGGGTGTAATTTGTGATGTAACCCAGTAGCTTAGTCAGAGCTGTGGTACAGTACAGCCTCTAACTTCCACCTATGACAGCTATGACCTTTCTTTGACCTTTGACCTTTAACCCTCAGATCACCCGTAGCCACTACCAGAACGCCCTGACGGCCACCCGGATGGACAGCTCCCCCCAGACGCCCGACACAGACGCCCGGCTCACAGACGGGAACACCCCCGACCCCCCTGTCCCGGAGCAGAGCGGAGACCTCCTCCTTCCCCCCAGAGAGACCCGGCCCAGCTCGGCCAGAACCAGGGGACAGCAGTCCTCCGTCCCACACAGCACCTCTCTGCTCAACGAGAAGAACCGCATCGTCCGTAAGTCAACCATACTGGTAGGAGGGAGGGAGGGAGAAGAGGGGGGAGAGAGAAGAGGGGGAGAGAGAAGAGGGGGGGGAGGGGGGAGAGAGAAGAGGAGGGAGGGGGGAGAGAGAGGAGGGGGGAGAGAGAGAGAGAGGAGTGGGAGAAAGAAGAGGGGGGAGAGAGAGGAGAGAAAGAGAGAGAGAGAGAGAGAGAGAGAGGAGGGGGAGAAAGAAGAGGGGGGAGAGAGAGGAGGGAGAGAGAGAGAGAGAGAGAGAGAGGAAGGGGGAGAAAGAAGAGGGGAGAGAGTACATCAGTTGGAGGATATAGGAACCACAGTTATTGTTTTATTTTCTCTGCGTGACAGAGTGTGTACTGTGTGTGTCTCCTCCTACAGGCAGTAAGTCAGACGGTCAGAAGAGCCCCAGTGACTCAGTGTTCCTCAGGATGGATGAGATCCCTTACATCAGAGAGGACCGCTCAGAGAGGGACGGCACCAACGGTGAGAACACGTCACTGTTTGGTGTCAGGGCATATAGGGAGGGATGAAGGAGTGGGATGGAAGAATGGAGAATAAGGAGGATGTTGGTGATGAGGGAAGACATTTAACAGTGGTCTAAGGCACTGCATCGCAGTGCTGGCTGTGCCACTAGAGATCCTGGTTCGAATCCAGGCTCTGTCGTAGCCGGCCGTGACCGGGAGACCCATGGGGCGGCGCACAATTAGCCCAGCGTCGTCCAGGGTAGGGGAGGGAATGGCCGGCAGGGATGTAGCTCAGTTGCAACGCCAGGGTTGTGGGTTCGATTCCCACGGGGGGCCAGTATGTATAACTGTAAGTCGCTCTGGATAAGAGTGTCTGCTAAATGACTAAAAATGTAAAATGTAAAAACACAGAAACAACATCTACACAGTGTATTATGAAGATTGAAAATGTCACATTTCATCTCTCTCTCTCTCTTTCTCTCTCTCTCTCAGACACAGCCTCTGTTGCTATAGAAACGGACGCCCCCTCCTCTTTCATCAGTACTCTGTCTCTAAGTGGATCAGAGGACACACTGGGCAAGAAACTACTGCTCAAACTCAGTGAGTCACACACACAACATATACACACACACACAAGCACGCATATACACACACACACCTTTACTCTCTTGCATTCTAACACACCTGTGTGCCCAATGGACAGTCCAAATGCCCACACACACATACAACCATTTAAAAAACATATCCCAACCAAGCCACTGTGACTGCACTAACCCAACAACCCCACGACCTGTGAGTCCCCTCCACCGGTCACTTTGTAATGTTAGGGTACATCCCAAATGGCACCTTATTCCCATGAGCCCTGGTCAAAAGTAGTACACTAAATAGGGAGTAGGGTGCCATTTGGGATGTATCCTTAGTAACAGTCTAAATCCTGAGCCTTTCTCTTTCCCTGCACCTCTGCTCCATGAACAGCTGTGTCCTAGCAACCAGTCATTCACTGGCCCCTGCCTCCTTTCTCTGGAGGCCCCCCAACGGACCCCCTGGCCCCTCACAGGGTGTGTGCACCACTCTGGCCTCCACAAAATCCCTCTCAACATCTCTCTCTCTCTCTCTCTCTCCTCTCTCTCCCCCTCTCTCTCTCTCTCTCTCTCCCCCTCTCTCTCTCTCTCCTCTCTCCCTCTCCCTCTCCCTCTCCCTCTCTCTCTCTCTCTCTAACACTCACATGGGAGAGCCAACTAGTGTGTTTCTCTCCCGACTGGCCCACTGCTGAATGAGCTATGGAGAATGAATGTTAATGAGCCTCCCAAGTGGCATTCCATTCCCAAAGCCCTATGGGTCCTGGTCAAAAGTAGTGCACTTAATAGGGAACAGGGTGCCAGTTGGGATGCAGACTGAGTGTTTCTCTGCTCAGTATTGCAGAGCTACTTTAACTAAATGGCTGCCCAACACACTACACTACACACACACACACACACACACACACACACACACCACGTGGTCCCTCTCTGAGCCAAAGAGCAGCAGAATGGTCTCTCTCATTTCAGTAAAAGGCTGAAACGGGGCCAAAATCACACCACATTAGGAATTAAGCAATACAAGCCTGGTCAGAAGTAGTGAACTACAGTGCATTCGGAAAGTATTCAGGCTTTTTCCACATTTTGTTACGTTACAGCCTTATTCTAAAATTGATTAAATAAATAGAAATCCTCAGCAATCTACACACAATACCCCATAATGACAAAGCAAAAAGAGGTTTTTAGAAATGTTTGCAGATTTATTGAAAATAGAAACAAATACCTTATTTGCTATGAGACTCGAAATTGAGCTCAGGTGCATCCTGTTTCCATTGATCATCCTTGAGATGTTTCTACAACTTCATTGGAGTCCACCTGTGGTAAATTCAATTGATTGGGCGTGATTTGGAAAGGCACACACCTGTCTATATAAGGTCCCACAGTTGACAGTGCATGTCAGAGCAAAACCCAAGCCATGAGGTCGAAGGAATTGTCCGTAGAGCTCCGAGACAGGATTGTGTCAAGGCACAGATCTGGGGAAGGGTACCAAAACATTTCTGAAGCATTGAAGGTCCCCATGGACACAGTTGCCTCTATCATTCTTAAATAGAAGAAGTTTGGAACCACCAAGACTCTTCCTAGACCTACCGCCCTTGGGAGGAGGACCTTGGTCAGGGAGGTGACCAAGAACCCGATGGTCACTCTGACAGAGCTCTAGAGTTCCTCTGTGGTGAAGGACAACCATCTCTGCAGCACTCCACCAATCAATATAGTGGCCAGACGGAAGCCACTCTTCAGTAAAAGGCACATGACAGCCCGCTTGGAGTTTGCCTAAAGGCACCTAAAGACCCTCAGACCATGAGAAACATGGTCTGTAGCTCAGCTGGTAGAGCACGGCGCTTGTAACGCCAAGGTAGTGGGTTCGATCCCCGGGACCACCCATACACAAAAAAAATGTATGCACACATGACTGTAAGTCGCTTTGGATAAAAGCGTCTGCTAAATGGCTTATTATTATTATTATTATTATTATTATATTATTATTATTATTATTATTAAGATTCTCTGGTCTGATGAAACCAAGATTGAACTCTTTGGCCTGAATGCCAAGTGTCATGTCTGGTGGAAACCTGGTACCATCCCTGCGGTGAAGCATGGAGGTGGCAGCATCATACTGTGGGGATGTTTTTCAGCGGCATGGACTGGGAGACTAGTCAGGATCGAGGGAAAGATGAATGGAGCAAAGTACAGAAAAATCCTTGATGAAAACCTGCTCCAGAGCGCTCAGGACCTCAGACTGGAGCGACGGTTCACCTTTCAACAGGACAATGACCCTAAGCACACAACAAAGACAACACAGGAGTGGCTTCGGGACAAGTCTCTGAATGTCCTTGAGTGGCCCAGCCAAAGCCCGGACATGAACCCGATCGAACATCTCTGGAGAGACCTGAAAATAGCTGTTCAGCAACGCTCCCCATCCAACCTGACAGAGCTTGAGAGCATCTGCAGAGAAGAATGGGAGAAACTCCCCAAATACAGGTGTGCCAAGCTTGTAGCATTATACCCAAGAAGACTCTAGGCTGTAATCGCTGCCAAAGGTGCTATAATAAAAGTAGTGAGTAAAGGATCTGAGTACTTATGTAAATGTCATATTCCAGTTGTTTATTTTTTATAAATTAGCAAACATTTCTAAATATCTGTTTTTGCTTTGTCATTATGGGGTATTGATGAGGGGGAAAAAACAAGTTAATCAATTTTAGAATAAGGCTGTAAGGTAACAAAATGTGGTAAAAGTCAAGGGGTCTGAATACTTTCCGAAGGCACTGTATATGCCATTTGGGACTCAGACAATGTAGTTGTAAATGACGTTGTCATTGTCCAATTCATTGATTCACAATTAATAGTATTAATTAAATGTAGATACTTTTTTTCAATTACATTAATGTATTTTCCAATTATATATATATATATAATTATATATATTTTTTCAGATGTATATTTATTTCAATTAAATGTCAATATTTTTCAATTAAATTTACATTTGTTTTCATAAAATGTATAATGTTTCAATTAAATTAATTTTTTTGTCATTACATTTATTTATTTTCTCAATTAAATGTATTTTTCTCTTCAATTAAATGTATATATGTTTCAATTAAATGTATTTTTTTGTCATTACATTAATTTTTTCTCAATTAAATGTTTTTTTTCTTCAATTAAATGTTTATATGTTTCAATTAAATGTTGTTGTTTTTTCAATTAAATGAATATACACTACCAGTCAATACGTTTGACACACCTACTCATTCAAGGGTTTTTCTTTATTTTTACAATTTTTGTTAAACAAATCAAAATGTATTTTATATTTGAGATTCTTCAAATAGCCATCCTTTGCCTTGATGACAGCTTTGCACACTTGGCATTCTCTCAACCAGCTTCATGAGGTAGTCACCTGGAATGCATTTCAATTAACAGGTGTGCCTTCTTAAAAGTGGAATTTCTTTCTTTCTTAATGCGTTTGAGCCAATCAGTTGTGTTGTGACAAGGTAGGGGGGGTATACAGAAGATAGTCCTATTTGGTAAAAGACCAAGTCCATATTATGGCAAGAACAGCTCAAATAAACAAAGAGAAATGACAGTCCATCATTACTTTAAGACATGAAGGTCAGTCAATACGGAACATTTCAAGAACTTTGAAAGTTTCTTCAAGTGCAGTCACAAAAACCATCAAGCGCTATGATGAAACTGGCTCTCATGAGGACCACCACAGGAATGGAAGACCCAGAGTTACCTCTGCTGATAAGTTCATTAGAGTTATCAGCCTCAGACATTGCAGCCAAAATAAATGCTTCACAGAATTCAAGTCACAGACACATCTCAACATCAACTGTTCAGAGGGGACTGTGTGAATCAGGCCTTCATGGTCGATTTGCTGGAAAGAAACCACTACTAAAGGCCACCAATAAGAAGAAGAGACCTGCTTTTGCCAAGAATCACGAGCAATGGACATTAGACCGGTGGAAATGTGTCCTTTTGTCTGGAGTCCAAATTTGAGATTTGTGGTTCCAACCGCCGTGTCTTTGTGAGACGCGGTGTGGGTGAACGGATGATCTCCGCATGTGTATTTCCCACCGTAAAGCATGGAGGAGGAGGTGTTACGGTGTGGGGGTGCTTTGCTGGTGACACTGTCTGTGATTTATTTAGAATTCAAGGCACACTTAACCAGCATGGCTACCACAGCATTCTGCAGCGATACGCCATCCCATCTGGTTTGGGTTTAGTGGGACTATCATTTGTTTTTCAACAGGACAATGACCCAACACACCTCCAGGCTGTGTAAGGGCTATTTGACCAAGAAGGAGAGTGATGGAGTGCTGCATCAGCTGACCTGGCCTCCACAATCCCCCGACCTCTACCAAATTGAGATGGTTTGGGATGAGTCAGACTGCAGAGTTAAGGAAAAGCAGCCAACAAGTGCTCAGCATATGTGGGAACTCCTTCAAGACTGTTGGAAAAGCATTCCATGTGAAGCTGGTTGAGAGAATGCCAAGAGTGTGCAACGCTGTCATAAAGGCAAAGGATGGCTATTTGAAGAATCTCAAATATAAAATATATTTTGATTTGTTTAACACTTTTTTGGTTACTACATGATTCTATATGTGTTATTTCATAGTTTTGATGTCTTCACTATTATTCTACAATGTAGAAAATAGTAAAAATAAAGAAAAACCCTTGAATGAGTAGGTGTGTCCAAACTTTTGACTGGTACTGTATTTTTTTTCAGTTAAATGTATATTTATTTCTCCTCAGGTCACAAGAAGAGGAAAAAGTCTCGGGAAGGAGACCAGACACCTGAGGATCCATCAGAGCAGCCGCTGGTCAAGGCCTAGCAGTGTGTGTGTTGTGAATATGAACTAACTGCAGGCCCTCACTCAATCATGAACAGTCTATTTCCTTCCTCTTTTTGATCGTTTAAAAGACGTTTCTGCAACGTTTGTCAGACGTTCCAGTCACTAGTTGACCACTCTCAGATGTCCCAACCAACAAAGACATTCTAAAGGGAAACAGAAGGATATATAATGACACATAGAAGGATATATAATGACACATCCTCTCCCTAACAACCCCACAGTCTCTGATCTCAGACAGCACCAAATGGGAACAACTAACTCAACCAGTGGGACAGAATCTACCATATCATCATGAACCTGTTTTCTATATTATTTTTTGTTATGTTTAATGTCTAAGTGGCTAATGGATTTGAAGACGAAGAATGTCAGGAGAAGAGAGGATGTTTTTGGTTTAAGCCACTGTCAACTTTTAATTCACCCCCTCCTTAGAAAATATTTGAATTGGCCCTGTTGGAGCTGTGACCTAAGGAAACCAAAGACTATTTAGATATCATCCCGAAGTACACAGAATAATATTCACCATTATAAAGATCCCATCTATTCCTTCTATAGGCATTTTGATGGATGCTGTATCACTTCTGTTATTTGATAGTGAATGTTTCTGACTATTCTCTTCTATTCCCCTCCTATCTACTGTCTAAGGGGTGAGTCCTAACTTTCACTTGAGTGGATATCAATGGGAGACTAAGTGAAAATTTAATTTAGGATTCACTCCAAAGTTCACGTTTCAGCATGGACTCATACTATAGTGGTCTAAGGGGTTAAAAAAAGGACTTGAGATGGTTTGGGGTTTGACTGCCTTACTAAGAGAACATTTCCAATCTGCATGTTTTAGGTACTGCTGAGCACGATGTAGATTTCTACTTTTTCAGCCGAACTGTTATCACAACTTCCTCAAATGGTGAGAATGGTAACTGACCAGTCACAAGAACGGACCAGTCTCTTCCAAATTATGTATATGAGCAATACTGAAACACTGTTACACAGTTGTGAACGGGACATATCCGAAAGACGGTACTAATGTAGGATATGCCATTATGAAACACATCTGTTGTAGAGAATACATTTCTTATTTTATCTGACAAGCTGTACCATAAGACCCATGTTTCTCTCTCTCTGGATTAAGACCACGGGGTGTGTCTCTGCTCTGACTGTTTTTGTGCCACTGCACCACAGTGGGGGGAGAAAGATGGGGGGAGGGGGGAGGAGGGCTAAGGGGAGAGGGATAGAGAGAGGATGGAGTAGAGGAGAGGATGGTGGGCTGGGAGAAAAGAGAAACGTGAGAGATGGAGAGAAAGGGGGAGTGATGCTCTGTGGCTCCTGTCATTGGTCAGTGAGGAGAGGAGAAGAGCATCCCTCTGTGGAAAACAGAAAAAGTGCTGACTCACTATGCTGCATGGGAGTACAGGCGACAGCCAATCAGAACCCTCATCCTCCTCTCAGACACAATGGCCCTGTTTTTAACTGGAGTAGGATGAGACTGATTTAAGGTCAGTTTTCTTGTTTTGGTTAGGGTTAGGATTTGGGGAGGGGAGGGGAAGCTGATCCTGCATCTGTGCTTGTCGGCAACGTCTATATGGAGATATTTTAACACAATGCATTTTTAAAGTGCTTTTTGTCCAAATAAAAGCCTATGTTATTCTTCAGAGAACACAATCAATTCTAGCCTTTTAGATCAATTTAAATGTATAAATTGGACAGATAATCTGCATACTTACTGATCTTGTTTTTCACCCCAATGGTTAAGGTTAGGAGAGGGGACGCTGATACTAGATCTGTGCTTGTGTCATAAATTGAAACTGATAAATTGGACAGATCGTCAGAAGGAGAACACTGGTGTACGGGGAGAGAGTGGCACCTATACAGAAAGTAATAGAGATATCTTTTTATAGAAGAGAAATGCATATATGAGAGATGTATTGTAGATATTAGAGTTTATAATGACTTTATGGGTACAGTATGTTCTAATGACTACTCTGGGCATTTTAACAGGGGAAAACCCCTCAGATTTTTGCATTAAAAAATGAACAGAATTTAAAAGATTCACAAGTTTCAGCTGTGTGACTTTTTAATGTTCAGACTTTGATATGAAATGTTATTGTTTATTCCAGTTGCTGACAGTTATTACCCAGGGCCCAGAGTTTTGTCTTGTCAGGTAAAAAACTCTGGGTCATAGTTATTACAGGATGTCAATATAACCATGGCAATTTTTTTTTTTTTTTTTTTTTTTTTTTGTCATTTAGCAGACGCTCTTATCCAGAGCGACTTACAGGAGCAATTAGGGTTAAGTGCCTTGCTCAAGGGCACATCGACAGATTTTTCACCTAGTCGGCTCGGGGATTAGAACCAGCAACCTTTCGGTTACTGGCACAACGCTCTTACCCACTAAGCTACCTGCCGCCCTGGCGTGTGTGCACGTGTAATTGGCGTGTGGCTGTTTATAGGAAGACCAACCGTATGGGTACAGTGAACAAAACAATGGGTCAAAATAGCACAACAAACACATAACCATTAAGGGCTGAGATGTACAATAATTTATTATGAATATACTTGTCACACCGAGTATATGCCTAACACGGAACCTGAGCCACAGACATTTTCAAGTGGTTCAACTATTACCACAGTAGTTGTATGTGCTTTTCCTATAGGACATATCTGCATATAGCTGCTCAATGTTTATAAACAGGGCATATCACCCAATTAGAGGACATTTCCTGTTAACCTTTGACCTATAGGCATATGCATGAACTTTAAATTACCTTTCAAGCCTGTCACATGACGTCACAGAGTATTTGATCTTATCCACAATTTCACACATTCTAGAATGTTGCGATTGTTCTTTGGAACCAGTTCTACATAAAACACCTTCAGAAGCATTGTGGTATGTCGATGTATGTAGAACACAGGATCACACAAATCATTTTACATTTTAGTCATTTAGCAGATGCTCTTATCCAGAGCGACTTTCACTCAACTTCTGGCATTGCTTCACTTTCAAGTGCTCTGAAACATTTTAAAAACCAAAGTGCACACAAAGTCATCTTTTACACATTTTCAAAACCGGAAAACCGGAAATGGCACAATAAAATAAATAAAAAGGCAACATAACGGTCGTCAGGATAGTGAAATACTTCAACTAGAGGTCTGCCTTAATTTTGTTTAAAAGATGGCTCAGTAATCTGAGGAAGAGAGAAGGTGGACACACCAGTTATACCGTTGATCATATACCATTGATTGTTGTTAACATGTGTCATATCATCACTCTTCTACATTTTACAACCAATAGATGGCTAGAGCACTGCTTATAGAGAAAGGATGTGTGTCACAGACGGGGTGCTTGACGAGAACACGCGTGACAGTTGACAGTACTTCCTGTTGTGAACAGGAAGCAGGAAGTAACTGCACGTGGAGGGCAGGGCCTTACTGGACCTTGGAGACTGTCTCATGGATGGACTCTGCGACATAGTCGATGTTCTTGGAGGTGAGGCCACACATGTTGATACGACCGCTGGCCATCAGGTACACGTGCTTCTCCTTTATCATGTACTCCACCTGCTTAGCTGTAGGTAGGGAGGGAGGGAGGGAGGGACAGAGAGAGAGAGAATATGTTATTAAAATGACAGTCAACTGTTGATCATGTAATCTATCTGCTTACCTGTAGAGAGGGAGGGAAAATATGTAAGTTGTAGAATTGTATCCGTGTGTGAGATTCTGTGTGTGCATGTTACCGTAACTTACCGGAAAACTTCCATTAAACGCAGTCTCTTATAATGCCCGGGCATCGGTTCATATTTTAGCAAAAAAGCACCCGGTCAAAAAAAGTATAATTACACGTGCACAGATTTTTCCGGTCTGCTCCGGTGTGCCTGCGTACATGTCTGTGTGTCTGGTAAACACTTACGGTTGAGTCCGGTGAAGCTGAACATGCCGATCTGCTGTGTGATGTGGTCCCAGGTGCCAGGCGTCCCCAGAGCAATGAGCTTAGCCTTCAACTGGTCTCTCATCAACAATACACGGTCAGCCATGGTCTTTACATTACCCTTCCTACAGGAAGGAAGGATGGGGGGAGAGCGAGAGAAAACATTTGAGAGAAAGAAAGGGAGAGTTAGTTTAGCCTTCAGCTGGTCTCATCAAGAGGCCGTGACAGCCATGGTCTTCACGTTATCCTTCCTACAGAAGAAAGAAAGGAGAGAGAGGGGAGAGAAGAGAGGAGAGAGAGGAGGGAGAGGAGAGGAGAGGAGAGGAGAGGAGAGGAGAGGAGAGGAGAGGAGAGGAGAGGAGAGGAGAGGAGAGGAGAGGAGAGGAGAGGAGAGGAGAGGAGGGAGGGAGAGGAGAGGAGAGGAGAGGAGAGGAGAGGAGAGGAGAGAGTTAGTTAGTTTAGCCTTCAGCTGGTCTCATCAACAGGACATTACCCTTCCTACAGCCCACAGGGAGAGGGACAGCTTCAACACTGTATATCAATGATTGGAATGGGAACGTCAGTCTTAAAAAATCTGCCACCAACAGAACGTGGCTTACAACAATCCCCAATAAGTAAGCACCGTTTTTAATGTACAACAATGGAGCAGTTTTCAAAACTTGGAGCGTACCATTCAGTGAATTCCTCAGGGTTAACTTAGAAGGGATTCTAAATAGGAGTGTTGTTGGACTTTACCATTCTGTGAAGAGAACTGGGTTGTTGAGTATAAAGGGTTATATTTTTGACAGTACCATTCTATGAATAGATCGGGGTTGTTGAGTGTGATGGCTACGATGCGCGCCCCCTGGGAGGGAGGGTTGGACCAGGTGGTCCTGACGATCTTCTCCATCTGAGACAGAACACGGGTCAGGTTGTCTTTATCCTGGGCAACTACTGTCAGGTTACCAACACGCTCATCTGGAGGAGGAAGGAACAAAATGGAGGATTAGCTTCACAGAGAGTGTGTTTGAGTGGGTGCGAGTTTATGAGACAGAGTAAAAATGTAAGCAAAAGCTCTGAAATGTGGCCATTGGACCACAGCAGTGGACTGTAAAAATACTTTAAAGTGCTACTTAAGTCGTTTTTTGGGGTATCTGTACTTTACTATTTATATTTTTGACAACTTTTACTTCACTACATTCCTAAAGAAAATCATGTACTTTTTACTCCATACATTTTCCCTGACACTCAAAAGTACTCGTTACATTTTGAGTGCTTAGCAGGACAGGAAAATTGTCTATTTCACACACTTATGAAGAGAACATCCCTGGTCATCCCTACTGCCTCTGTTCTGGCGAACTCACTAAACACAGATGCTTTGTTTGTAAATTATGTCTGAGTGTTGGAGTGTGCCCCTGGCTATCTGTACATTTCAAAAACAAGAAAATTGTGCCGTCTGGTTTGCTTAATATAAGACATTTGAAATTATTTACTTTTGATACTTAACTACATTTTAGCAATTACATTTACTTTTGATACTTAAGTATATTTAAAACCCAATACTTTTAGACTTTTACTCAAGTAGTATTTTATTGGGTGACTTTCACTTGAGTCATTTCTTATTAAGGTATCTTTACTTTTACTTAAGTAGGACAATTGGGTACTTTTCCCTCCACTGGTGTGCTACATGTTGGTGTCCATGTCTATATATAATATATGCCATTTAACAGACGCTTTTATCCATTTTACGTATGGGTGGTCCCAGGAATCGAACCCACTACCCTGGCGTTACGAGCACCATGCTCTACCAACTGAGCTACAGAGGACAATGATATACGCGTGTGTGTGTGTCTATCTGTATGCATATATACTCACTGTAGAGGCCAAAGTTCTTGGAGAAGGACTGGGCACAGAGCAGCTCAAATCCTTCAGAGACAAAGTAGCGGATGGCCCAGGCATCTTTATCCAGACTGCCTGATGCAAAGCCCTGGTAGGCTGAGTCAAAGAACACAAACAGCTTCCTCCTCTGGAGGGAGAAGGGAGGGGAGGAGGGGAGGGAGAGGAGGGGGGAGGGAGAAGGGAGGGGTGGGACAGAGAGAGAAGGGAGGGGGCAGAGGGAGAATTGAATTGAAAGGGAAGAAAGGAAAAACAAAGTTACCCCAAAATATAAATGAGCCAGATGGATAATGGTTGGGATTATGAGACGTCCGTTCCCCTGGGGTGTATTCATTAGTCGCAGACTGTAGCAAAACGTTTTGCAACAGAAACCGTTTACTCCAAACGGAAAACATTTTGCAATGAAAACTAGAGTTTCTATTGAACACATTCAGGTAGGTCGCTACCCGGTTGGTTCCTAGTGAATACATCCCTGCCGTCTCCCCTGTCTCACCTTCATGACCTCAGCGATAGTCTTCCATTCGTCAGGTGTTGGGTCGGTCCCTGTGGGGTTGTGTGCGCAGGCATGGAGCACAAAGATAGAGTGTTCTGGAGCGTTCTGAAAAAATAACATACACACATGATTTTGAGTAGTGAAATGTTAGGGTGAAACGGGGCTGAAGGTAAAAAGGTTTGCAGTATGTTATCTGTTGTTCAGATTACTGGTTGTTCTGATATACAACTGAAAACAAAACTGAACATATGTTCACTGTACTTGACATTCTCCCAACAATATGCACATCTTAGAGTCAGACATTTTGTCAGTGCTTAGAAATGTAAACCTGCTAAATAGTTGCATTGGTACATTGAGTACTTCTATTCGATTATTAGTAAAGAAATACAAATCTTGAATCGCGCCCATCTCTAAACAAAACACTAATGCAAGACGTGACGATCATTCACAGCTTGTTGTAGCCTAAATCATGCATGATGTCGCTCTAACTCAAGTCCCTCGCTCTCCCTCCTTCACTACCCATCACTCCCTCCCCTCCATCCATCCATCCATCCATCCTTCTCTCACCTCCAGGTCGTCCATTATACCAGTCACATCCAGGCCTTTCTTTGCTCCGTCCCAGTAGTGGTAGGGGCGGATATCTTTAAACCCAGCATCAGAAAACACTGCATTGTGGTTCTCTATAGGAGAGAGAAGAAGAAGAAGAAGAAGAAGGTATTTGTTCAGTACGTTGTGCTCTTAGTGGGATCATGACTCAATAGAATTAGAATTGATAGAAGTAGATTATGAGTGTGCTCTGTATGTCTGCTACTGTGTAGACTGTCGGTATCTAAACAGTTCTGATGTGATGTGTATGTTTGTATTGATTCTATGGAACCCAAGACTCCCTGGAAAACAGTGGTAAGTGTTACCGAGTGGATTATCCTGGCTAAATAAATGAAATGAAATGCAAATGAGTTGGTTGTAGCTCCGCCCACTAACCCCAGGTTGGCGCGGAGACGTAGACGGGCGTGGCCGTGTTGTTGGTGCCGTTGTACCAGCGCCTCAGAAACTCTGCCCCGATCCTCAACGCACCGGTACCTCCCAACGCCTGGACCGCTCCCACCTAGAAAGAGAGAGAGAATGTCAACATCTTGGCAGGGCAAGGCAGAAGAGTGTGTGTGTGTGTGTGTGTGTGTGTGTGTGTGTGTGTGTGTGTGTGTGTGTGTGTGTGTGTGTGTCCCAGTTCTACCACTCATCCCCCAGAATGTGCGTGTGGCTCAATTCAGAATTTTGGAATTGACTCCAACCCCACAGGACGTAGAATTTGAGTTACGGGAAGTAGAATTTAATTCAGTGCAATTCAAAGAAATTCGACTGAGTTATGGAACATGAGTTATATTGAATCTGACAGGTCACACTTCCAGATATCAAAGAATATATCACTTTTCTCTGGAAACAATGTTCATATACTCTTTTAACCTTAGTGCTTACAATTGCCAATTGTATTTCCACCAACCATTTCATTTGTTTGGCTTCTTTTTGAAGGCCTCAGGGTCAACTTGAGGGTTGAACTAATGCTGGGAAATGTTGTATTTCCCCCATATTTAACAAAAGTGATTAATAAAATATAACAATCTAGAATATTCGCATACAGGTTTTGTTTTCCTTGATCATACATTTTAAGATTTTATCCTCAAAATCAATTGTTTTATATGCATGAATATAATGACATGTTTTATGTACAAGATGTATACTTGTATAGACTACACCTAATATAGAATATTAGAGACATTTGAAATTCATTGAATTTCACTCAATTCTATTTCCTTTAATTCAAATTGCAATTCTGTATTCTGTTTACGACTTCAATTCAAGTTCTAGAATTTAATGGGAATTTATGAGGCATTCTCAATTCAATTCCGCCCAACTCCAGTATGTGTTTATGTATGTACATGTGTCCCTCCCTCCCTCCTACCTACCCTCCCTCCCTCCTACCTACCCTCCCTCCCTCCCTCCCTCCCTCCCTCCTACCTACCCTCCCTCCCTCCTACCCACCCACCCACCCACCCACCCACCCTCCCTCCCACCCGCCCCTACCCTCCCTCCCACCCACCCACCTCCCTCCCTCCTCCTCCCTCCTCCTACCTACGTAACCCACCGCCACCCTCACCTCCCTCCTACCCTCCTCCCACCTACCCTCCCTCCCCTCCCCCCTCCCTGCCCTCCTACCTACCCTCCCGTCCTTGATGGCGGGGCTGTCATCTCCCAGGGCCACCTTGGAGGCAGCAGAGCGGAGTTCAGGGAGACCCAGGATGGGAAGATACTCGTGGTTCAGACTGTTGTCCTCCACTATCATCTTCTCTACCTTCTTCACTACGGGCAGGACCCATGGTAGACAGTCATCTGTACGGTAGGCTGAGGAGAGAGGGGGAGAGAAGACATTATATACTGTATCTAACTGTCTATCTAGGCAGGACCCATGGTAGACAGTCATCTGGCTGAGGAGAGAGAGAGTTTATATACATACTGTACATGTCTGTCTGTCAGCCTGCCTGTCTCACTGTCTGTCTGACTGCATGCCTGCCTGTCTGTCTGCATGCCTGTCTGGGAAGGACCAATAGCAGGCACCCGGCAGTCATTTCCTGTAGGCTTGGGAGACACAAACAAGTACAGTGGGGAAAATTTTTATTTAGTCAGCCACCAATTGCGCAAGTTCTCCCACTTAAAAAGATGAGAGAGGCCTGTAATTTTCATCATAGGTACACGTCAACTATGACAGACAAAATGAGAAAAAAAATCCAGAAAATCACATTTTAGGATTTTTTATGAATTTATTTGCAAATTATGGTGGAAAATAAGTATTTGGTCAATAACAAAAGTTTCTCAATACTTTGTTATATACCCTTTGTTGGCAATGACACAGGTCAAACGTTTTCTGTAAGTCTTCACAAGGTTTTCACACACTGTTGCTGGTATTTTGGCCCATTCCTCCATGCAGATCTCCTCTAGAGCAGTGATGTTTTGGGGCTGTCGCTGGGCAACACAGACTTTCAACTCCCTCCAAAGATTTTCTATGGGGTTGAGATCTGGAGACTGGCTAGGCCACTCCAGGACCTTGAAATGCTTCTTACGAAGCCACTCCTTCGTTGCCCGGGCGGTGTGTTTGGGATCATTGTCATGCTGAAAGACCCAGCCACGTTTCATCTTCAATGCCCTTGCTGATGGAAGGAGGTTTTCACTCAAAATCTCACGATACATGGCCCCATTCATTCTTTCCTTTACACGGATCAGTCGTCCTGGTCCCTTTGCAGAAAAACAGCCCCAAAGCATGATGTTTCCACCCCCATGCTTCACAGTAGGTATGGTGTTCTTTGGAGGCAACTCAGCGACGAGTTGTGGCGCAGTGGTCTAAGGCACTGCATCGCAGTGCTAACTGTGTCACTAGAGATCCTGGTTCGAATCCAGGCTCTGTCGCAGCCGGCCGCGACCGGGAGACTCATGGGCGGCGCACAATTGGCCCAGCGTCGTCCAGGGTAGGGTAGGGAATGGCCGGCCGGGATGTAGCTCAGTTGATAGAGCATGGCGTTTGCAACGCCAGGGTTGTGGGTTCGATTCCCACGGGGGGCCAGTATAAAAAAATATGTATTCACTAACTGTAAGTCGCTCTGGATAAGAGCGTCTGCTAAATGACTAAAATGTAAATGTAAATGTAAAATGTAAATGAGTTGAGTTTTTACCAAAAAGTACCAAAAAGTTCTATTTTGGTTTCATCTGACCATATGACATTCTCCCAATCCTCTTCTGGATCATCCAAATGCACTCTAGCAAACTTCAGACGGGCCTGGACATGTACTGGCTTAAGCAGGGGGACACGTCTGGCACTGCAGGATTTGAGTCCCTGGCAGCGTAGTGTGTTACTGATGGTAGGCTTTGTTATTTTGGTCCCAGCTCTCTGCAGGTCATTCACTAGGTCATACCATCATACTTAATAGGGTGATGGTTGACACCAAAACAACCTTTCATAATGACCACTACCAGGCTGCCACACAGCCATAGTGCAGCAGTATGTTTACTTCATGCAGTGTGTAGAAGACTGTATTTCATGTTACTGCTATCACACCCAGCTCTGCTGGAGGTCACCCTGGCCTGAAGACTAAGTGTGTGTGTGTGTGTGTGTGGTGTGTGTGTGTGGGCACACGGCTGTGGGTGTGACTTCTGAGGAGCTAAATTTCCCTCTCTAAGGAAAGCCTTCCAATTTCTGTCCTTTTCCAGTCCAGGCTAGTCCGCTCTACCATTGAGCATCAAATTACAGCCGTTCATATTCAGTTACCAAAGTTCACAACAAATAGCTAGCCTAGCTGGCCTAGCCTCCACCAGGCCCTGGTCTAATCTAAGGGAAACTACGGACATGTAGGCTAGCTCGTTAGAAGCTACATTTCTTTGTTGTTTTTTTCCTTCCTACAGTTCCTTAATATACCAAATATTGATTTACCAAGGTCACACTTGAACAAGCCAAGTCCAAACTAATTTTTTTTTTTTTACAGTTCCTCAACACACCTTGTTTCTACTAGCATCAGTCCCTCACTGCCAACAACAACCAGTGGATATTTTCCCAGGAGTCCTGTGTTGTGTTATGAGGCCCTTGGCTCTAGGTGTTGTTGCTACTACCGAGGGAGTACAGCTACGACCTGAAGTGACTTTTCATAGCAGGTTAGGGGAGCATTTTAGCTAACCCTAACCCTTTTCCTAACCTTAACCAAAATAAAATAACCTGTGGGCCAATATCAGCCCGAGGGTTATTTTATTTGGCCCCTTAAGTTTTCTGAGCAAGGGGAGGGGGACTGTAAAAACACCAGTAAATCAGCTCCAAGTGATTTAGATTTTGGAAATCTGTTCCAAAGTATTCCCATGCACAATAGTGAGATACGTGATCATATGCAAATATAATGTGATTATGTTTTAGTCAAATATTATATATGTTTGGGCTTCTTGTGGTCAATTTGCAGTCTACAAATTACTTGTAATTATGTTTCCCTGACCATCGGCTCAAGAAAAAATAATCAGCCCGTTGTAGAATCTAAAAGTTGATGATCCCTGCTGTACTCCGTCTAGTCAGAACCATTGTTCACCTGTCTGTGTCTGTCTTTGTGAATTTAACAGAGGCTGGTTTGGGGAACAGGTTGAAACTGTGAGTGAGAAGATATAATCCCGTATTCTCTACAGGCTTGGCATTGGAAGACTCATGAATGAAATGGAAGGGATGACAATATAACCTAGTAGTGAAGGCAGAGTGATCTATTCCAAACCCAACACCTGCATAACTATCTGTACTGCATCCAGCAATCATTTTATTTCTATCAGCTACAGAGAACACTGGTCATAGATATCCAATTCCTAATTCTATGGCAATGGTAGTCAGACCTCATCTACAATGTTTTGGAATGACCACAGACCTTTTGGAAGGTGTGTCACCCCACGTCAAGCTCGAACTAAAGTCAACAGTCAAAACGCTTCTATTGCTGCCTGCCTGACATGTTCTGTATGGACACCACGGGTTTTTCGTAGAATCAATCATGAGATCACATTGCTTTCCAGTGTCCACCAAATGTCAAACTCCAGAATGAGCAGCGTTTTATAAATGCTTTTATGCTGCAAAGCATAACATGTAAATCATGATAGATACTAGCTAGCTGCCCCTGTATTAGCAGAAAAATATGGCTGATATGAGGCAGTCTAGTTGCACTTGCTGTCAAACTTCGACTACTCTGTTAGCCTGCATGCTAACAACGAAGGTCAAAGCCATTTTAGTTGGCAAGCATTCTAATATCATGCTACTCAAACTAGTGCCAGTGGTCAAACCAGTTTACCCGTCTGTGTTGCAAATGCTAAACGTAAGTTAACATAGCTTGTTGAAGCTTCTCTCTCTCTTACCTCCGACTCCCAAATTCACCTTCTGCGCGTGAGTGTCCTCTCTGAAATCGGCAGTCAGTTTAAAAACGGCCACCGGAGGGGCTTGAGGTACTTCGGCGAATATAGACATGATTTTAAAGGATCCCGGTACAGAGCAGGAGAAGAGGAGCGAGTCGTTCTTCGGTACCTCACCGGTTAGATGCAGTGGAGAGACAGGCGAGTTTCACCTTCAACGCGCTACAAGACATCGCTGTTAAGCAGGAAAGAATAACTAAGTACTTCCTGGTCACGGAATTTTGGAATCCTTCAGAATAAAAGTCCCATCCTGTATATGTTGTAAATTAATTATTACGGCGAAAATGATGGAAAATGTGCACAATTATCGATATATTTTATACTAGTTATCATACAAAGAATCATTTAAAGTATTTATATAAGATATGTAATTTACTTCATTTTCTTTTTTGAAGCCTAAATGGTCAACAATTGTTTTTGTATGTGTACTCCCATTGTGTATTGCACTGTACAAAGTATCTGTAAAAGGGTGGTCCATTTTACTCAGACTTTTAGTTTCCAAATCTACAGAGTTTAGACACAGAGGAGCGTCCTGCTAAACCCGGCCCAACAACTTAAATCCAATAGTTTTTTCATACTGGACATACATATTGGGGGGCCCATTATTAACAAGCGTTATCAGTTAGGAGTTTAGTACTTAGAGTTTGGAAAATATACCACTTACATCTGAAAAATTGGTCAAATTGAATGAAAAACAACTGTAATAAAAACATTTCACTTTTAATAACTACTTTAAAACTAGAAGTGCTCCTGAGTAGAATTGACCCTTTTACTGCAACACAGTGTACTGATACTTTTATATGGTGCAATATGTATGTCCAATGTGAAAAAATAAAACACGATTGCATTTAAGTTGATGGGCCACTCTATAAGGGCCGCCAAATAGGCAGCGATGCTCGTCTGGGCGTAAACTCTGTGGATTTGGAAACTAGCGGTGCTCCTGAGTAGAATGGACCCCCCTTTTACTACAACACAGTGTACAGGAAATTGTGTTCTACGGTGCAGTTTGTCCAATGCGAAAAACGCACTGTACGTCCTGCAACACGAATGTGCTAATTAACAATGAGATTTTAAAGTGTTTTCTGAAGTTGATAATAATAATAATAATAATAATAATAATAATAATAATAATAATAATATTGTTGTTACTATTATTATTAATAGTAGCATTATAAATAACGTTTTGTTATTTGTATTACTGTTGTTACCATGATAACTATCTAGTAATAATTACTTCAAAATTCTAAGTCTGCAAATATTTCCTCATAAAATGTTACGAATTTCGACCATTTGTATTATTTTTCACGATCTTCATTTTGGGACATTTATTTTGAATGAAAATAGCCGAGGTCACGGCCTTATTCTTGCTGGTGGAACGGAGGTGTACAAGGCTAACTGAACCAATGTCTGGAACGGGCGTCAACCCAATGACCAATGAGATAGCATGGAATACTGACCGGGGCTGCGAGACAGCAAATGAGAGCCAAGCATTTGAAAGGTCAAGGGCTAGTGCAGCGGTATGGCTGTGCACATGGAAATTATTAGGTTGTTTGAACATGTGATATCAAAGCAACTGGATATCATTTTACACCCTTTCTGTTGATATTTATTTTAGCAACTGTACTTATCAAACCTATTTTATCTGACATTCTAGGAAAATATCATAATTATGGCTTCAGTCCCGATAGCAAATTAGCCACTGTCTGCAAGTGACTATAAAGGAGATTATGAATAGATTAATAAAGACTCAATTACATCAAAATAACTAGCATGATGAGTAAACATAGTTCAGAATGTTTGATTGAATTCTAGGTCAATATTTTACTGGCATTACGATCCATTAAAAGTATGTAATTCCTCTTTGTGCCACAAGATGTCAGCCTTAGCTAGCAATGGAAGACGTGCTGTCAGATTTACTTTTCTCAACCCTCTCTTTGTAGAGAGAGAGGATTGCCATCAATAAATATGCAGCTCCAAAGGAAATGGGTGACCAAGTATATTAACTGTTTACTTTGCAAGCTCACCAGCAATGGGGCATAAAGCAACAATTACTAGCATATGCCTACTGGTCTTTTGGTATGTACAATTTGCTTGAAATTGATCATTTAATTATGAAGCTTGCATTTGGAATTTGTTGTTTAAATTCATTATTACATAATCAAAATGTGTTGTAGACAAAATAATGAAACGGTCTGTCTGGTAGCCTCAATAAATAGACAAAGATTTGTAGTTGAACAAGTCATTGCATATATATATATATTTTTTTTTTACTTGACTTGAGAATTGACTTGAAAAAACTGGACTCGACTTGACTTGCTCTTAGAACGCATGACTTGGCCTTGACTCGAGACTCGGCGCGTTCTACTTGTGACTCGACTTGAGACTCGGACCTTGTGACTTGAGACTTGCTTGTGACTCGAATAATATTGACTTGGTCCCACCTCTGTGTCTACCTTGTGAGACACCTCTGTAGCGGTGCATCCAGTCTGACGCCAACAGGCTCTTGAACATCTTCTATTCCCAAGCAACACGACTGATAAATAGCTAACAAAATGGCTACACGGACTATCTGAGTTTACCTTGTATCTTTATTCACCTTCTATTTCAATCGTTGCACTGTCTCTATGCACACTCACAAGGTCCAACACACACACACACACACACACACACACACACACACACACACACACACACACACACACACACACACACACACACACACACACACACACACACACACACACACACTGTTACTCCAACACACACAGAAACAATCACTTCATCATTTGCTCACTCACACATAATATGCACATACATTTATACTGACTCTACACACCCACTCACATACAAGCTGCTGCTACTCTGTTTATCTTATATCCTGTTGCCTAGTCCTCTTACCCCTATACATATATTGCATTTGGAATATATTCAGACCCCTTGACTTTTTTCATGTTTTGTTACGTTACAGCCTTATTCTGAAATTGATTAAATTGTTTTTCCCCCCCTCATCAATCTACATTCAATACCCCATCATCACAAAGCAAAAACAGGTTTTTAGATATTTTTTTTAACAAAAAATAAATAAAAATAAACGAAAGTATTCAGACCCTTTACTCAGTACTTTGTTGACGCACCTTTGGCAGCGATTACAGCCTCAAGTCTTCTTCTGTATGATGCTACAAGCTTGGCACACCTGTTTTGGGGGAGTTTCTCCCATTCTTCTCTGCAGATCCTCTCAAGCTCTATGAGGTTGGATGGGGAGCGTCGCTGCACAGCTATTTTCAGGTCTCTCCAGAGATGTTAGATCAGGTTCAAGTCCGGGCTCTGGCTGGGCCACTCAAGGAGATTCAGAGACTTGTCCCAAAGCCACTTCTGAGTTGTCTTGGCTGTGTGCTTAGGGTCGTTGTCCTGTTGGAAGGTGAACCTTCGCCCCAGTCTGAGCGCTCTGGAGCAGGTTTTCATCAAGGATCTCTCTGTACTTTGCTCTGTTCATCTTTCCCTCGATCCTGACTAGTCTCCCAGTCCCTGCCGCTGAAAAATATCCCCACAGCATGATGCTGCCACCAATATGCTTCCACGTAGGGATGGTGCCAGGTTTCCTCCAGATGTGAAGCTTGGCATTCAGGCCAAAGAGTTCAATCTTGGTTTCATCAGACCAGAGAATCTTGTTTCTCATGGTCTGAAAGTCTTTAGGTGCCTTTTGGCAAACTCCAAGCGGGCTGTCATGTGCCTTTTACTGAGGAGTGGCTTCCGTCTGGCCACTCTACCATAAAGGCCTGATTGGTAGAGTGCTGCAAAGCTGGTTGTCCTTCTGGAAGGTTCTCCCATCTCCACAGAGGACCTCTGGAGCTCTGTCAGAGTGACCATTGGGTTCTTGGTCACCTCCCTGACCAAGGCCCTTCTCCCCCGATTTCTCAGTTTGGCCGGGCGGCCAGCTCTAGGAAGAGTCTTGGTGGTTACAAACTTCTTCAATTTAAGAATGATGGAGGCCACTGTGTTCTTGGGGACCTTCAATGCTTCAGAAATGTTTTGGTACCCTTCCCCAGAAATTGCCTTGACACAATCCTGTCTCGGAGCTCTACGGTCAATTCCTCAGACCTCATGGCTTGGTTTTTGCTCTGACATGCACTGTGAACAGTGGGACCTTATATAGACAGGTGAGTGCCTTTCCAAATAATGTCCAATCAATTGAATTTACCACAGGTGGACTCCAATCCAGTTGTAGAAACATCTCAAGGATGATCCATGGAAACAGGAAGCACCTGAGCTCAATTTTGAGTCTTATAGCAAAGGGTCTAAATACTTATGTAAATAAGGTATTTCTGTTTTTTTTATTTTTAATAAAATTGCAAAAAGTTCTAAAAAACTGTGTTTGCTTTGTCATTATGGGGTATTGTGTGTAGATTGATGAGGGTGGAAAATAATTTAATCCATTTTAGAATAAGGCTGTAACGTAACAAAATGTGGAAAAAGTGAAGGGGTCTGAATACTTTCAGAATTCATTGTATCTACCTCCATCTCTCCAGTATCCCTGTCCCCTTACCCTTATACATATCTACCTCCATCACTCCAGGATCCCTGTCCCCTTACCCCTATACATATCTACCTCCATCACTCCAGTATCCCTGCACATTGTAAATATGGTATTGGATCTGACTTTTTAAAATATTTCCTGTATATACTGTAGTATGCTTACTTACTTACTTTATTGTGTATTTCGTATTTATATTCTTATTTCTCATGTGTTTTTTCTAGTATTACATTGTTATTGATTACTGCATTGTTGGATTTTGAGTTTGCAAGAAAGGCATCTCACTGTACTTGTGCATGTGACATTAAAACTGGAAACTTGTGTCGTGGAAATTCGTACACAGGGACACTCAAAGTCAATCTTAAATGAATCATTGTTTATTGTCAGCACGCTGGAGACGTTCCAACCAACTCAATGCACCATATGTACACATGTCGACCAGGAGCTCTGTCTTACATATGGCTATACACAGACAAGTTATATTTGCATGATTTAGCATAATTCATTCATCATTAGTGTTTTGTTTCATTCATGTGACCGACCAATACTGGTTCATAACATGTGAGAGACCAATACCTCTAAGCTGAGACCTTGGAACTGAGATATCTTCCATTCTCAAAACAAAGGTCTGGGCATACTGCCAAATT